AAGCTTGTTTCCGCCACTGAAAAAAAAAACAAAACAAAACAAAAAAAAAAAACAGAAAAAAAATAACGTAGCCCAGGCTTTCTGTCTCACACTTCTGACTTTCTCCCCTCACAATTCCGTGTTTGTATCTCACAATTCTGAGAAAATAAGTCAGAATTGCTAGCATTAAAAACTCGCAATTTCGAGAAAAAAAATCAGTAGGCCTATTGCGAGAAAAAAGTCCTATTTATGATATAGCCTAAACTCGCAATTCTGAGGGTGAAACAAGTCAGAATTGTGAGATAAAAATTCGCAATTATCTTTTAAATTGCTTTATTTCGTGGAGAAAACAAGCTACTATATAGGTGTGCTTGTGAAAAGATTTAGGCTGCCATTGCCAAATCTAACCGGTTGCAGTTAACAACCACCACCTCTCTTTGTACATTTAGAGTTTTGCTCAGAGACATCAATGTTTCAAAATAATTTCACGTTATGTGAAATGTATAGGATTGTGTAGAATATTAGGCCTAGCCTAATTTTATTCTTCTTCTTCGTTAAAGAAATTAGGTCCCTACGGAGTGGATTTGATTTAAAATATTAAATGTAATGATCAGTATAGCTGAAGGTCAAACAGGAAAGCTATTCCTAAAGGAGTCTAAAGGTCTTGAGGTCTATAAAACATTCAATAACAAAACAAACAAAACAACAAAAACAAAAGTGGCACTTTGTGTAATTTTATCTTTTTTATAGCCTACTATTTTGAAAAACAGACTCCACATAGGCTATGTCATGTGATATAGGCCTAACCATAAAGTCCGACCAATTCGAGGCGGGCATATGCGATGTGATGTCGTGATTTCAGCACTCGCATTGAACGAGTAGGCTAGCCTAGATCTTATGGAAGCCCGTTTCATCAACAGTTGAGTAAAAAAAAAAAAAAAACATAATTCTGTAATTTATAATAATGAGAATCTCGTAATAATGACTAACATGTCATAGTTAATAATGAGAAATTTTCTCGCAATAATGACTTAGTAACATCTCATAATAATGAGAAACTTGCTCATGACTAACATCTCGTAATAATAAGAAACATAATTAAAAACAGCTTTCAAAAAATTGTTTAACAAATTAATAAAAGAAGACACCTGGAAGGCGTAATCGTTAATCCATTTTGCAACACGAACTGGTAAGCAACAGTCATTTGTAGCTATTGAGCTACAGAACTTAAAGATCTATCTGTTTTCGTTTTCTTTCGCTGCAGACGAAATTGTTAAACTTCTGTTGTCGCGCAGGCGCAGTGAGGGGAAAAACACTGAGATTAGGGCAATCGGTTTGTAGCTTTGGTTCGCTTGTGCGATATAGGCTAGTCACGAAAACGAGAAGCGACCAAAATTTCTGACATATCAGAAATGCATCTGACCACCCGATTGCCGGAGAGGAATTTTTCTTTTCTTTATTCTGATTTCCGCAGTTGTATCACCCCGATTTTTTTTATTTATTTCAAACTTCCCCACAAAACAATACCCATCAGGGGTATAGGCAAGTTGGAGCCGCTCCCCTGCAAAATTTATTTCCAACCCTAATCAAACACCTTCAGGATTACTATAAGGCTATTGGCAGGATAGTTTTTTTCAGTGTTGGAACCAAACTCTGCAGGACAGCAGCCATAGGACCGAATTTGCCTTGCCCTATATGAATGATAATGCAGACATTGAAAACATGAAAGGGGTGTAAGTAATTATAATAGGCTATCAATTCCATTTTATAGGCCATATCTACAAAAAATCGCTGTAACATCACTGACCTTTATAAAGATCTGGGCATGCAGGAATGTTGCTATAAGTGTAAGCCTTCTTGTTTTTCAGATGATGAATGTGTCCGCTGGCCTGTGGATATTACATATTTTCTGTTACTGTACATCCGTAGATTATGGTTTATAAAAAGACAGAAGCCAACTCTTAATGCTGCATGGCACCATCCGAGCAGCAGATTTATCCACTACATTATCCTCAACTGTCCAAATGATCCTGGGATCCCTGTCACTCTAAATGCCCATTTACGGCTTTACCATTGCATATTTAGATCACCAGAGGGGTTGTTAATATGACTGCTGGCATGATACCTTAATTACAACATAATCCAACCAGAGCAATGCTCCCTGGCCACTGAGATTGTAGCCTGCTTTCTAAAAAATACATGGTGCCATGACAAAATTAGGCCTGTTTAATCTCCTCTCTTATGGATATTTCAAAATTCACAATCTAATGGTCACTGATCCAACATGTTTGATGAATGATAATCCTTAGTTTGACTAAACAAAGCCAGACATGCACTCTAGGCCATTTGAACAAAAGCATGATACTGTGACACTAGCTGGAGGCATGGAAAGACAGGGTGGTGTGAACGAGTCCAAGTGAAAGGGATGTTTATGATGGATTCTGAAAGAGGGAAAGAGGTAGAGGTAGAGAGAGAGGTAGAGAGAGAGGTAGAGAGAGAGAGGTAGAGAGAGAGAGAGAGAGAGAGAGAGAGAGAGAGAGAGAGAGAGAGAGAGAGAGAGAGAGATCAGCCTGCTCTCCACTGCACATCCAGAGGAATCTGGGGCATCTAATGGCCCCTCACCCACAATTCATGATCTCTCTCTCTCTCTCTCTCTCTACCTCTCTCTCTACCTCTACCTCTTTCCCTCTTTCAGAATCCATCAGTGGTATTGCTGAAATTTGAAGGAATTAATATTGTTATTTATTACTCATTGTTATTAATTATGAAAATGTGATTATTGTATAACATGAATAGAGAATAAAAAGAGTTAAACATCTCTCTCTCTCTCTCTCTCTCTCTCTCTCTCTCTCTCTCTCTCTCTCTCTCTCTCTCTCTCTCTCTCTCTCTCTCTCTCTCTTTTCTTTTTTTTTCGCTTTGGGGCATGCAGTGACCCCACACCGTGGGAATCCGTGGTCCACAACGGATGACTTTAACTGTCTCACAAGAAAAAAGGTTGAAGAGATGGAGCAAGGATCTGTCTCTCCCTTATTAATATATATTTGTTTTTCTTTACTAATATATAATTAATATATTTTTTTTGGTCATGGCAAAATGGTAGCCTACTATAGTAATTATAAACATGAAAAATTAAATAAATTCAAATTTCGATAAATTACTGTAAAGTCAAGTGAACCGTTTAATTCGTATTGCTTAGCATTTATCTTTTTGAAAAACTCATCACAATAGAAAAAACACGCTATCAATGACAAACAATAATCTGGCTCAACTCATGCATCAAAGTAGGCCTATATAAATCTATGACTTATTTTACGTTAATTGGAACGAGATCACTTGATAAAAGAAATTTATGCATTGAAGCGATTGAAGCGATTTTAATAATGAACTTGTGAATTTGACTGTTATTTTTAATAATTTACCTGAATCCATCCAACATTTCAATTAAAAAAAAAATCTGTCAAAATATCTGTTTAATAGGCCTATATTATAGAAGTTGAAATGATTGCTGGAACGTCTGTAATTGTTCTTCTTTGAGTCTGAACGCCAGGCCACAATGACGCTTTTCTCATTCTTTTTAGCAACACAAAGGCAATTATTCGGCCATTTCAAACTAACAAGACAGAATATGAAATATTAAACCCCCTTTAAATGTTTGAAGTCTAAAACATGTCAGGCCACTAAAACAAGTTTTTTCCCCAGTTTCATATGCTCGTACAGCCCGCAGCGTAGAGTATGGCAATAAACCAACTATAGTCAACATGTCTCCGATGAAATCCTAAATGTTTTCCAGATATCCTAAATATAGCCAACGAACGGGCTTCTCTACCCCCCCCCCACCCCCACCCCCTGTATTTTTTCTGTTATAAATGGAAATATTCATGAACCTTTAAGTAGGCTATTGAATAAATGCATCTGAAGACTACATAGGTCTTCAGAGGTACATAAAGACTACTGCTATTTGATTATCTTTTGGCCATATTATTCATAGGCCACACCTCTTTTATTTTTAAATATTGCAATAACGAAATTACTTATTGCACATTGAAATGTGTGATAAATAGTCCTGTTATTATTATATCTATATTACTATTATCATTTTATTATTGTTTTTGTTGTTGTTATTAGCCTATATAGCATATGTTTGACAGATATTAGTTTCGAGCGTAACTTGTTGCTGACGTGCAGGGTGCAGGTTAAATTGTGTCCGAGGTAATGGTGCAAATCTAGATGTTGATGTAAATAAAGATCAGTCTCTGTGTCATGACTGCAGTGCATGAAAATGAGCAGCTTCCCGTATGTAGTTCTATAATCGGAGCTACGGGCAGCTCATACATCATGCAAAATGGGCCCGAAGGGTTTTCTTCAAATGAACTGTCTGGGTCTGTGGAAATAATATCAGGGGCTTTCCGTCAGAATGAACTTTTCCAATGTAGCCAGCCGTGAAATAATCTGACCCGACACTTTAAACCATCTGCGCTATCCATCCGCCTTCTTATTTATTGCGAGCTGTAGCTGATACTATTCCAGTTTTTTTTTTTTTAAATATGATATGGCATCTCCACAATCCGCATGGCTGACAGGTTTATCCATTGATACCCGTCGCAAATCTTTATCAATTCCCAAAAGAATTCAAAATATGTCAGTAATGCAAATGATAGCTTGAAATAAAAAATAAAATAAAATGAATATAGGCTAAATAAATAGTAGGCTAATTAAAATACCTTGGCTAAAAATAGTCTATTTGTTTTCAGTTATTAAATTTGAAATGGTCGATTATAACTGATTATGTAAGCTGTTAATAGAGCTTTTAGCTGGTTAACAAAGTAGACTCCTACGTGCAGCTGGAAGGCGGAATGATTTGTCCAGTTAAGACTCGTTTCATTCTAAACACCACGATATTAAATTTGACAGGCCAATGACTGTTCCGCTGAGTTGTCAGATGTATTTTTTTTATTATTATTATTATTTGTTTCCTTTTTGTGTCAGTGGTCGTTATTCTTCACAAGCGAGAGTCCGGAGCGGACGAATGACTTCACTGGAAAATCCACACAACACACGGATGATCTCATTTAATGTCGTGTGTCGTTTTAATCCGAGCCATTCTCTTGTCGCCAGAAACGTAGATATTTGGAATGATAAAAAGCCAATCATGTCCTCTCCTGTGCTTAAAAAAGGCAGACGAGTGAGAGTTTAAAAATAACATTTCGTGTTAGATAAGACAACACTGTAGCCTACTTTCTATTAGTCTTTCAAATTTTCGAAAAGTTTACTTGAAATGTGCGTAAAACGCGCAGTCGAGAGTAGTAACTCGCGGGCTTGAGTAAAAGCAGAGGTCGCTGATGTTTACATTCTGAAAGGCGCTGTCGAGGTCTGGGAGGTGCTGAAATCTACTCGAGCTCCGTTCCGCGTGATTGGCACGCTTGACAGTGATTGACAGGCTTCCGTGAAAACTACGCAACCAATCTGCCAAGTCCAATAGAAAACCAGAAGTGGGCATCACGTCTTTTCCCTCCACAAAACATATCTTCATTCTTGTGCTATAATCTTGTGCCCTCGAAATCTCCAACGGAGGCAGCCTCAGACCGAAAGAGCGACAACTCTATTTCTCTGCATCGTCGAGCGTTCATCAGCTGACTCTGGAATTGCCTTTTCGCCTGGATTCGACAGGGAGGAGAGAGAGGGAGAGAGACAAGCCACATAAAGCAGGAAGCTTTGAGCTAGAAAGGACTCCGAAAGGAGAAGAGAAGCCTTCATGTTTCAGTTGCCAATCTTGAATTTTAGTCCCCAGCAGGTTGCGGGGGTATGCGAGACTTTGGAGGAGAGCGGAGACATCGAGCGTCTCGGCCGATTCCTTTGGTCGCTGCCCGTCGCACCAGCCGCCTGCGAGGTGCTGAACAGAAATGAGTCTGTGCTGCGGGCTCGCGCCATCGTAGCCTTCCACACTGGGAATTTCCGTGAGCTTTATCACATTCTGGAGAACCACAAGTTCACCAAAGAGTCCCACTCTAAACTGCAAGCACTTTGGCTGGAGTCGCACTACCAGGAGGCAGAGAAACTCCGAGGCCGCCCGCTAGGGCCAGTGGACAAATACCGGGTACGGAAGAAGTTCCCTCTCCCTAAAACTATTTGGGATGGAGAACAAAAGACGCACTGCTTTAAGGAAAGAACCCGACATTTACTTCGAGAATGGTACCTCCAGGATCCTTATCCGAACCCAAGTAAAAAGAGAGAGCTTGCACAAGCTACGGGACTCACTCCCACTCAAGTGGGGAATTGGTTTAAAAATCGAAGACAAAGGGACAGAGCCGCGGCTGCAAAAAACAGGTGTGTTTTCCCCGATTTTTACCATGGGGGCTATATTGAGCATATATTTGATATTTTAGCAATAATGGTTATATACTAAAATGAGATATGTCGATCAAATCTAAAGGAAAGCCTACATAAAGGAAAGGCTAAGCTAATGTAGCCTAACATAACCTGTCAATGTCATTTGTTCTGTAACATAGGCTACACAAATAAACAAAGTCTTTAAATGGAAAAATCGCAAATAGATTAATCAAAAAATGTGAACGGTTATTATTTGTCATTTTAGCCTATAACCTAAGCGATGTATTTTCATGATTAAAACCGAAATTTGCAATTATATTGGACATCTATCTTTAGCTACTATTTTTTTTTAACTTTTAATTGCGGAATGAAAAAAAAGCGTAAAAATAGTCTACACGTAGCATACAAAATAGCCTACTGTTAGCCTACTTGTCCCCTTTGACCAAAAAATCAATGGCTAGCTTTTGTGTATCTGTGCTATGGTTTGGGCCTTGTGTGCATCAAATGTCCTTACAGATATACAATATAACAATTAACGAGAGCCTATGGGTAACAAAGATTAAATGCTGTTATGAAAAGCTTTCTTGGTTTCGACAGTTGCTGAAGAAATTCTACCATAGCCTATTTTGTTGCAAGCTGTTTGCTGGAGTAATGCAAATAAGGACAGTTTCTTGCAGACAATAATTTACCTCCTCTATCAGATTGTGTTCTATATTTTGTTGGACATTTAAATATAAAAGCTGTTATAATAACCTTTAAAAATACCAAACACCAATTCAAAACTGTTAAAAATCGATAAGCCTTTAAAACCAGCATAAACTGTTTAGGCCAATTCACCACGAACATATTTTTTTTTCTAAATTGGAATTCTTTTTATTAAACATAGACCAGATAAAAAATGATAATAAATATAGAAAATACGCGAATTGCCTGCAGCCTATAGCTATTTTATGTTCTTCCGGCCGGGGCATTCCATTAATAGCCTATATAGGCTAACTAAACCTGAAGCCTGAGCGGACCATCATTTCAAAATATGTGCAGATTTCATACATAGAATTTGCAGTTAAATATCTTGATTTGGCCCACATGTTTTAACATTGATTGCACGTTTCTTGTTTTAAAATCATGCAAGCAACAGTAGGAACCACTGATTTAGCTAATTTAAGAGTTTTTTTTTTAATATAGGCTATATTTAGAAATCCCTTCTAAACCCCAGCCTTTTTCTTTTTTTAAGGTTGCAACAGCAGGTGTTGTCTAATGGCTCGGTTCGGTCCTTAGCTGGGGATGATGGTGCTGTAGACCGACTGGGGAACGCGTCGAGCCCTGAAGCGAGCCTGTCGAGCAAAGCCGCTGCGTCGGCGATCTCCATCACTTCAAGTGACAGCGAATGTGACATCTAACATCACACCGCGGGCTATATCGGAAGACTATGAGAAAATTAACACATACGAACGAAATCGAGACAGACAATCAGCAAGATAAACAAGCACATTGGTGCCTGCCTTAACGTATCAGAGGCCGTGTTTTTATTATTATTATTTTTTTTTATTTGTAGGCTGTTAGCCTACCAGCCTGGAATCGTGGGATTTATGGAATGCTTTATCTTCTTTAAAATGTATTTATCTTTTTGTGAAGGCAAAGTGGGGGAAAACACGAACAAATGACATGAGAAAAAAAATCTGAATTAAAACTACTTTTGTAAGCAAAATCGGCTGCCTCAAGCAAACAGGCCCTACGGAAATAATATTCACACTTTTTGTTCTTTTTGAAAAGGACTTCGTGGTGAAACATTTTTTCTCCCAGGTTTTCTAAAGTGTTTACGCATTAAATTGTTGCTCTTATAAAATCTGATTTTCATTTGCTTGGTCATTTAAAGTCTGCTCATTTTTGGTGTGCACCGATAGTGAAGATGAATGAAAGACTTGCCGAAAATAAACATTTTAAATTCAAAGAAACCATACAGACTTATTCTCATCCATTAAAATAAGGTATTATTTTCAAATTAGTGTTTATTTATGATATACATTTTATTAATAATTTATTATTATTAAAATGTGTTGGATTTTGTCATCTTTACACAGCCAGCCTAGCCTATTTTGTTAGCCTCAATACCAAGAACATGTGTGAATGCATTCACCCTTCATTTAGGCAGACAAACCACTTGAACTTTTGCCTCTGTATTCCTGGTATAAATGGTGTGAGGTTCATGCACAGCACAGCCAGTAATCGGTAAATGTAGGCTATAGTGGTGTGTTTAACCTGATCGCTTGCCGCGTGTCCAGACGCGTTAACCGCCCCGTGTGATTGGCTTTGCCGTCATGTAATGCTTTCTGACAGGAGAAGGTCAACGAGAGGGCGAAACGCATTGGTTTCAGAACGAGCAAGCTAGAGAGGAAAAGCATCTAAAGCCTATAATTTATTCATTTACTTATTAGTTTAACCTTTAATTGCTTATATACGAAACTGTGATCGTTTAGGTAGGCTACTGAAGAAACTGCATTAGTATCTATTTATTATCATCTAATTATTATTTTAAATATAATCATAAATATAGCTGATTTTCTATTGCGCATGTTTATTGCATTTATCATTATTTTCGTTTCGCTTAGTATTCACCGTTAAATTCCATTAAGGTCACTTTTATTCAGGGAAGGGAGGACTATGTTTAAAATCTGTTAATAATGCTTGGCTACTGTTATTGGGGGAAACGAGGCATAGATGTGGTAGGGGAAAGGAGAGCAGGCTATTGAGTTTGCAAAGGGACAAAAGCGGAAAGATTAGGTGAAAAGAGTGTTTCTGGCAGTCAATAAGGTTGTCAAACTCGTCAGCGCTAATCAGCGCTAATGACCGCTTCTCAAACCCAACTCGAACAATAGTGAGCTCTTCAAAGCTCTGTTGGGGTTAAGGGGTGCTTTCTCCCAAACGAGCTCCGAAAATCCCTTTTCATTGCATATTTATTACAATATCGAAAATTTACTATAAATAAATGTGTGTGAATAGCATTATGGTGCGATATCGTTTCAGCTATCGTTTCAGTCACAAAGACAACGCCGATAAAGTCGAATATATGGTTGAAAAATTAATATGTATGTATATATATATATATATATATATATATATATATATATATATATAAATTTTGTGTCAGTGGATGCAGGCCCCTGCTCATTTTTAAAAGTGAGCAGAAATTTTAATGAAAATTTCATTCAAGCCAGTGCACTAGCGAATGTTTTCCATAAAAATAATAATATCCTAGTTATATATGAGCAGGGGTCATATAAAAATCAGCCCCTAATACAAATATTACTTTTAAAAATGAGCAGTGGCCTGCACTGACACAAAATGAGGCCATTGAGGCCATAATGCTTGTGTATTCAGAATTCCTGGCACCTACAATCACCATGGGTTTTTTGTGAATGACACGAAGAAAATTTGTCGAGTTCAAGGCCAATCCACGAAACTGATACAGCATACTAAAATTATGATTAAAACGATCATGAGTAGCCTATATTTTATAACCATCCAACCCGATCTCACGACCAAGTCGTACGAATTCGACGAATGATTAAAAAGTGTTGAACCATCACGTTCTACGTAATTGTGTCTTAAAATATCTTTAAAATATAAACTGAGCATTTATCGTGGCAAGTATATCCAAACAATACTAAAATGGCTTTAAATACGGAATACTGACGAGTGATCATCCCATGGCCCGAGTACTGGTGTTGAAGATCCTGTTGGCTCATACTGCTGTATTCCACTCATCTCCAAAAGAGTTACAAGGGTCACAAAAATAGACTATACAAAAACAAGTAATTATTTTCAATGCTATGTCAAACTGGATGTTGTAATAAATACTTACAATTTGCTTTCTTTGTATTTCACTGAACTTATTCAGGCTGTTTTTGTTGTGAAAAGCAAGACAAAATTGTTCGTCAGGGATGCCGAATTCCCAGTCCATCTTTTTTCTTTAAAAAATTCGTTGTGGTGCTTTTTACAGGTAGCCTAAAGTCGCTTTTTTTGTTTTTGTGATAAAACAACACCCATGTCACAATCAATTTTTGCCCATGTTTGCCATTTGGCGGTAAAATTGAAAACGCTATTTTGTCGATACGAATTTGCACAGAATTATTACTTTTTCCCGCAGAATATTATCTTCCTTGAGACTGGAACAGAAAACAATCCATTCCAAATACATGCAGTGTTTACAATACACTCTAAAAAATGCTGGGTTGTTTTAACCCAATTTTGGGTCAAATATGGACAAACCCCGAAATGTTGGGTTAAAAATGTAATGTAAAAATTTAACCCAACGGCTGGGTTAGTCCATATTTGACCCAAAGTTGGGTTAAAACAACCCAGCATTTTTTAGAGTGTAGGCCTCTGGTGATAAAAACAAATTGTGCGCTGGCTATACAATGAACATTTATATCCAATGGGTTAAATCTTGGAGGTTTAGTTTAGTTCCTTTATTGTCCTTTATTTCCACAAATGGAAATGTATCTTTGACTTCACTACAAGGACACCAACACAATCATAAAAATATACATATAAAACAGTAACATTCCCATGCACCTAAATAGCCTATCCACCCCTACTCATATTCATATCTTCTCAACATTTAAAATTCGAAGAGAAGTGGGCACAAATGCCATTTGGTACACATTTTACTCACCCATGATGTCTAAACCGTCTTCTTGATGGTAGCAACTGAAAGTTAGAGTGTATGTGAGTGCTAGGTCACTGAAATGATCAATGAAATGTCTCCATTCATTTTATTTATTTATTTGAAAAGGACAAGGTCATTTTTGAGGGAATGTATTTTTCTGTCGAAACTGGAGATAGGAGACGTAAATATACTTGGATTTGTTAGAGCTGAGCGCCCTCTGCTGTTATGACAGATCTGCCAATATTCCCACCATAGCTCAAACAAACAAACAAGCATTAATAAATAAATAATTAATGAAATACATACATACATACACTCTTAGAAGATTCTATATAGAAACTTAAAAGGTTTTATCAGCGCTATGTATTTGGAACCCCTAAACGTTTCTATACACAACCCTTTTAAGGGTTCAATAATAAGAACCCTTTAGGGTCTTTGGAATCAATCAGGAAAAAGTTTCTATATGGAACCTTTTGGGTTCATTCATTATCATTTGTTTTGTCCTTTCCGGGTTAAATATTTCATATTAATGACAAACATCAATACCCTAAAATTCAAGATATGTGGGTTAGAAAATGTACATATTTAGGCTATATCATTTTATGTAGTTAATAAATATCACATGAAGAGTGCCATTTCAGTTTTCCTCCTCCAAAAATCAGCATGATTAAAATGTGATATTAAGTTAATGCAACAGTTTAATACCAAATAATTTATTTACAACTACAAACTGTTGCAGAATAATGTAACATATGAATGAATAATAGCCAATAAAGAACCTTTGTGCCAAAAGGGTTCTTTCTTGTCATTATAGATCCTTTTTAAGCATAAAAGGTTCTTTGGAGTTGAGGCCCTACCCTGATTCATACTACAGCAACGTCAATAAAACTAATGTTAATAACACATTACCTCATCCATGAACATGATTTCTGCTCGATTTCTGTCTGATTGCTTTCCATCAGCTGTGGAGGAGGTGAAGACAACAACTCCCATGATCCCACGCTCATTCACAATCAGTCATCAATACGCCGCTGTTATTGTTTTAAGTAAGCCAACTCTAGCATAGCCTACTGTGCCTTTTGAGTGCATATTGTATGATTTTGTAAAAGACGCCCCTTGGGGCTAGTCTAAGTTTCCCTATGCTGCCTTCCCGCAGCGCGATTTTATTCACGCTAAAAGGCAGTCTGGATACCATGGCAGATTTTCGCCTCATTTAGGGAACCAATCACCCCCTATGCCAATCACACAACAGGGAGGGAGGAGCAAGACGATGACGACATCTATGCGACACACCGAAGCAGTTTGTTTATGTCTATGGATTCAACATGGCAGCAGATGCGAAGCTACCTTTTGATGCAGCCTTAGTGCTCTGTTCGAAGTATTTTACAATGCAAGTTTATTTAGAAAAAAACAGCCGCTTTTGGCGTTAAACTTCGCGAGACCCCAGTCATTATTGTTGTCTCGCCATTAATCGCCCTAATGGAGGACCAGGTAGGAGGAGGTTGTGTCCCGAGAAAGAAAATGCGATAAAGAATTGTCGTTACCAACTTCTGTTCGGCAGTCCCGAGGCCTGTATGAGCGCAAAGTGGCAAGACATGTCAGCCACGGAGTTGTATGCTAGTACCAACCTGCTAGGCATCGTCGTCGACGAAGTCCATTTATGGTAAGTGGTATTTATTAATATCATATTGTCATTATGCCTGTAGACTACCTACTGTGGTTGTCACAGTGTCACTAAGTTGTGTTGCTTTTCAATATCAATACAGCTAAGTTACCGCTTTAGTAGCATAACTTTCAGCTGTGCACACGTATGTTTGAAGTTGTTGACACTTTAGTCATCAAATTATTTTTTATTTTTTTTAAACTTGTGAAGTACAGGCGTAAACAATTTCCAATGCAAAATAACAACTTCTACATCAATGTTAAACTGTACTAGACATTCTTAGCACCCAATAAACGGTGCCAGGCATTCGTAAACCACGCCTCAAATACGAGAAATTGTGCTTGTGGTTCCCAGACCCAAGTCTCAACGAGCTACCCTGGTGCTAGACGTCCACTTTACTTTTAATTTTCCTCTTGGCCATAGATGGCGCTAAACCTCTATAAGCAGTTTTACTGAAAGGCTTCACTCCTCTTAATTTCGAGTTTTCATCTGAGCAACAATTGTGAGATTTATT